TTTTTTTTTTTTAAAAAAAAAAAATATATTTCTCAGGACGACGAGCAAAGGATGAATGAACAAGGCCACATTATCTTTGTTTTCTTGTTTTTTATTTTTTTATTTATTATTATTATTATTATTATTATTATTTTTTTGGGTGGTGGCTTTAATTTTTGTGGAAATACAAAGTAGTTTTGTTTTGATGCTTTTTTCTTGTAAAAGGAGGGGCAAATGATATTTGTTGATCAACAAGTCAATTAGAAATCACTTAGTAGGGGATGGTAAACCATTCTTTGAGGGGAGAGCAGCCTGTTAACAAGAAATGTGAACTTCCTATATTAAGTGTAATTATTTTTTGACATTTATTATCTACAATTGTCCTAACACTTATGTTGGTCAGATTGAGTTTTGGTCTCTTGAAACTAGTGGGGTTAAAACGTGGGCCCAGCTCGTTAAGGCTCGAGTTCGAGGCCTTAAAGAGTCGAGCTCGAGCTCATTTTATGCTTGTTTGGCTAACGAGCCCAGTTCGATCTCGATTCAGCTCGTTTATAGCCATATTTGAAATGCAGTTGGCTTACACATGGGACGTGTGGCCGCAAGAAAGTATTAACATGTAAATGTATATTTTCTGTCGATCTGAATTAACTAACCTATAAATAATGCTGACGTGGACATTTTAAGAATATTTGATCAGTTGTCGAGGATACATTGTAAGAATCTTTGATTGAGTCAACGAATTTTTCAACTGACTCGAGGATACATTGTAAGAATTTTTTAGTCAACCGAATCTTTGATCGAGTCAAAGAATCTTTCAGCTGACTCGACGACACATTGTAAGAATCTTTGATCAACCGACTCGATGATACATTGTCATTCCACAGCCTTCATCAACTTGGCACGCCATGCCCATCAAGGACACATCTGCACCCAGCATGTTTTCCACAGCCTTCATCAACTTGGCACTCCATGCCCATCAAGGACACATCTGCACCCAGCATGTTCTCTAGTCACATCGACACTCTGCGTTCATAACCCAAATCCTGATGTCTATGACATAACTTTCTTCGCGCCAAAACTAACACCACTTCCTTCATGTCGATGCCACCACCTTAAGTGTGAAAAGGTCTATCGTCCCTAA